AACTTGGGGGACACTGGCTGGCTCCCCAAGGGCAACTGGGTTCTCCTCGAGGGAGGCTTCCCTTTTCTCCTGTATGTCTCTGCTGGGCTGTGACAGCGAGTACTCTTCAGGCCGTGGCTGGAACTTGGGCCTTCTGCTACTCTTAACCTGGGACTCTGGCATTTGACTGGTCTCCTGGGGCTGTTGGGGAGGGTGACCAGGCTGACACTGCAGCGCCTGCATCTCCTTCCGGGAAGCATGGAGGTCACATTGGGCCTTCTGGGGGTCGTGTTGCAGCTGCTGCTGCCTGTCCTGCCCACGCGCCGCCTCCTGCAGCAGCTGCTCAGCCACCAAGCCGGCGGCATCGCGCTCTTGACACGCGCGGCCCAGGTGGCAGAGCACTTCGCTGTTCTCAGCCTCCACTTTCCCCACCCAGTCGGCCTTGGCTTGCAGCCGCCCATTCTCCTCCGCCAGCCAGGCGTTTTTGAGCAGCGCCGCCTGCAGTTGTGCCTCCACCTCCTCGCCGCGCCGCAGCGCCGCTGCCGCCTGCGCGCCCAGCTCCTTGCACTCGCGCCGCCGCTCTTCCAGCTGGCGCTCCAAGGCCAGCATCTGCTGCCGCATCTCCTCGCAGGTTGCGCTCTGGCCGCCCGCCTCGGGCCGGGCGCCACCGTAGCCCTGCGGAAGCGTCAGCTGCCTCTGCAGGCGCAGCACTTCCCGCTGGGACTCGCGCTGCAGGCGGTCCAAGTCGCTAACGTTGAGCCACTGCGTACAGGGACCTTCCCTTCCAGGATGCGGGTCTCTGCAGGGGTCCGAGGCCACACGCGCCTGCAGGATGTGGCACTCCTGCCGCAGCTCTTCGATCTGCTTGTCCTTGGCCAGCAGCGCGCTCGCCTGCTCCGACAGGTCCTGGGTGCGCTGGCTGGCAAAGGCCTGGCATAGCTCCAGGCCGGCGCAACTCTCGCCGGGCACAGGCGCGCTCACAGCCCGAAGGTTGGTCTCCTGCAGCTTACGGGCCCGGTCCGCCAGGCGCCGCGCGAGCCCGGTCAGCTCCGCGCGCTTCACCTTGAGCCGCTTCACCTTCTCATCTGCCTGGTAGAGGCAGCCTGCACGCCGCAGCTGCTTATTCTCCTCCTGCAGGGTAGAACAGCGGCGCGCCAGCATCCGCAATGCCTTGGCCAGCAGCCAGTTCAGCCTTATCAGCTCTTGGTGGCCCAGGCCCGGGGATGAGGGAGTCAGGACTTCGCAGGGCTTGCTCTCGGGGCCTTCTCCTCCCCGAGGGTTGCTGAGTTTCTCGTGGACTGATGGTGGTGGTGATGGCGGCAGGAGTGGCGATGGTGGCGGCGGGAGACTGCGGAAGCCAGGGGTGGAGGTGTCTGGTGAGGAGGGCCACTCCTCGGATTTGGAGGTCTTGGGGAGACTCCGGGTGCTGTCAAGAGACCGGGAACGCGCTGGTGCGAAGGAATCAAGGGAGCTGGCGCGCGTGGACAGCAGACCGTCTAGGGAGCTGGAGCACGCAGAGGACACCAGGTCTAGCGAGCCAGAGCAGACACGGACTCTGGCACTCAGGCTATCCAGAGATCCGAGTCGACTGGCGGGGTTGGGGGCGTGGCAAGAGCCGCTAGAGGTCTGGGGCAGCGGCACTTCCAAGGAATGCACAGCCTGGGTGTCAGGGGATCCCGACACAGCGGGGTGCCCGCGGAAGTGCTCCAGGATGTACTTCAGGAAGAGCTGGCGCTCCACCTCGAGCGCTGCCTGCAGATAGCGGATGCGCGCCGCCTGCTCGCCGTCAGTCTCCCAGCGAAGCTGCGCCAACACTTCCTGCAGGCGACAGCGGCACTGCGCTGCGGAGACCTCGGACGCCCCCGGGCGGCTGCAGTGGCCGCGGTTCACTAGCTCCTCGGCCAGCTGGCGCTGCAGCTCCCGGGCTTGGCGCACCACGCCATCACGCTCGCGGTGCAGCAGCTGCTGCAGCTGCCGCAGCTCGGCCTCCTTCCAGCGCAGCAGCTGCCGGATCTCGGCCTCTCGCTCCCGCTGCATCTCCTCCTGCAGCTGCCGCAGCTCCCGGCAGCGCTGTGCCTCCCACTTGGAGCGCAGATGGTCAGCCAGCTGCTGCCGCTCCCGCTCTGCCGCCTCCCGCAGCTGACGCTCCTGCGCAGCGAAGCGCCGCCGTTCTGCCCGCCAGCCCGCCCGCTCCGCCTCCAGCTCCGCCCGTAGCTTCTCCAGCTCCCGCCTCTGGTTCTCCAGCACTGCCGCCGCCGGGCTAGAGCAGCCCGGCTTCTTGGGCGATGTGCCCAAGGGGCCGGGCGAGTCCTTGGCCATTGCGGCCGCGGCCTGGCTGGACTCCCGACTTCGCCTGGCAAGCCGCAGCTCGCCAACTGCCGCCGCCCCGGCAGCGGCCAACCGCCCGGCACGCTTCTTCCGGCCGCCTCCTTGGGGTCTCCGCGTGCCCCTTCCGCCTCTTGGCATGTTCCCTCGAGTCCTGCCGAGGATGTCTGGCCCCCGCGCCTCTACACTTGGCAAGCCAGGGGTGGACTCCCACATCCCTGCTTAAACTGACCCATGTCCCTTCCGGGATGCACTGCGACTTTTCTGGTCCCTACACTTTTCTTGCTGCTAGCACCATGTCCCATGTGACCCTCCCCAGGCACCCTCCCAGGCACTTTAGTCTCAAGCAGGCCGAGGTGCCCTGAGGGAAGTCTGGGCAGCTGCTCCTGGGCTTGGAGAAAGGGGCAGGGTATGTGTGTCAAGGACCCCCATGCGGTGTGGGCATACCTGGCCGTGAGTTCAGGTGGTGTATTTGGGTCAGGTGGATAGAAAATGCAGCAGGATATGCCTAAACTTGGCTAGACCTAGACTCCTCAGAACCCTTTAGCCCCTATAACAGCCCTGATCACCCAACTGGTCATCCACCTTTTGGGGAAAGCATGTGCCTGATACACATTTGTGTTTCTGCCCAGAGACGACTCAGAGGAGGTATAGGCAAAAAGACTCTCCCCAGCAAAGTGGCATAGGGACACAGGGCCAGATAGGCAGGAAGGGCATGAGGGACACTGGCCTGCCTACCTCCCACATTTGGGTGCCAGCTGGTGACAAACGCTGGAGCCCCAGTGTCTGGGCTACTCAATGGCACCTTAGGCAGAGGCCCCAGGCTGGGCCAGGAGTGAGGGTAAGGCTTCAGCAGAAATATTGGGGGCATCCTGAGCTTCAGAACACACACACACACACACACACACACGGCGTCTCTGGCCACCTGTGTGGCTTGCAAGCGAAGGAGCCCTGTTTCAGTCTGGCTCCTCTTTACCCTTCTTGCCTGCACCTGGTGCCAAGTGGCTCTTGAGAGACATTGATGGACACCTGGCACCTGGCCATCTGCATCAAGACCTTGATACTGAAGTCACATCAGAGGCCCCTTTGCTTTTTGGTCTGTGGTGTCTCCCTGTCCCCAGGAAGCACCTGGGACTTCTCACAACTGCTGTGTTCACTCAACTTATGGCCCTCTGGCTTCACCTTCACAACACTCAAGTTTTTCAACTCAGGTTCCCCTGAACCCACAGGAAGTGACTTTAGGCGGTGGCAAGTAACAAGAACATCAGGAATTATGGCTCCAGATGTTCTTTTTGAGAGGTGAGGCAGATGTAGTGTATGTGTGAGAGGGAGGAAAGGTGAGATGCAGGGATGGCCTTAGCCTTGAACTGGTGCTGGGCTCCTGGACATGGTAGCCACAGGGAATCCTCAGCACAGCTCTGTTTTACGGAAGAGAATCTGAGGTTCAGTGGGAGCCACTGGCTTCCCAGGGCATATGGGCAACTGAGTCAGAGCTGGTGGGCGGGGCTCCACAGCCTGGATGCCCTGCTGCAGTCTCCAGTAGAGCTTCAGTTGTCAGGTCAGGAAGGCAGGCTGGGCTGGGCATGACGGCACAGGCCTGTAATCCCAGGCCTTTAGGTGACCAGGGCGGGAGAATCACTTGAGCTCAAGACCTGCCTAAGCAACATAGAGAGATCCCATCTCTACAAAAAAATAATTAGCTGGGTGTGCTGGTGCATGCCTGTATTCCCAGCTACTCAGGAGGCTAAGATGGGAGGATCACTTGAGCCTGGGAGCTTGAGACTAGCCTAGGCAACAGAGTGAGTGAGACCCAGCTCCAGTTCCAGCTGAGGTGGGATGACTGCTTGAGCCTGAGCCAGCAAAGGTGAGGTCAAGGCTGCAATGAGCCATATGGCACCAATTCACTCCAGCCTGGGCAACAGAGCAAGACGTTGTCTCATAATAATAATTTGTAAAAAGGAGAGCAGGCTGCCACCAAGGAAAAGGACATGGGTGGATGGGTCTCTGGGGACCCCACAGTCACCTTCCAGCAGCTGCCCTAAGAGTGGATAAGCAAAGCTGGGCTTCATCAGGGCTGAGCTTCTGCCATCCCTGTTCTCATCATGTGTGGTGATTGTCCAGTGGCCTGCCTGTCACCCCCATCAACTCTGAGCTTGCAGAGAGCACGTTTTCTTTGGTCCCTATAGTATCCCTGCATGTGACTTAGCACATCGTTGGTGCCTAAGACAGATGAGAATGAGTTGCAGCCTGGGAAGCAGGAGTCCCAGCATGAGCTCACCATGCTGCTGTCTTCTCCAGGTCCAACTTTTTCACCCATTAAATGAAGGGGATGGTTTTTTTTTTTCTTTTTTTTTTCTTTTGAGACGAAGTCTTGCTCTGTCACCCAGGCTGAAGTGCAGTGGCATGATCTCAGCTCACTGTCACCTCAGCCTCCTAGGTTCAAGCAATTCTCCTGCCTAAGCCTCTCAAGTAGCTGAGATTACAGACACCTGTCACCACACCCAGTTAATTTTCCTATTTTTAGTAGAGACAGGGTTTTGCCATGTTGGCCAGGCTGGTCTCAAACTCCTGACCTTAAGTGATTCACCTGCTTTAGCCTCCCAAAGTGCTGGGATTACAGGAGTGAGACACCACACCCAGCCTGAAAGTGATGATTTTAAACTGGATTCTTTAGGGCTCCAGGGTTCCTTGGAAATATAGGACTGCTGGGCACACACCTGTAGTCCCAGCTACTTGGGAGGCTGAGGCAGGAGGATTGCTTGGATCCAGGACTTCTGGATTGTAGTGTACAATGCTGATCAGATGTCTGTGCTAAACTTGGCTAAACTGTGCTAAACTGTGCTAAACTTCTTGGAAGCAGGAAACCACCAGCTTGTCTAAGGAGGGGTGAACTGGCTCAGGTTAGAATAGGAGCAGGTTGGCCGGGTATGGTGGCTCATACCTGTAATCCCAGCACTTTGGGAGGCTGAGGCAGGTAGATCACAATGTCAGGAGATTGAGGCCAGCCTGGCTAACACAGTGAAACACTGTCTCTATTAAAAACACAAAAAATTAGCTGGGCATGATGGCATTTGCCTGCCTGTAGTCCCAGCGACTCGAGAGGCTGAGGCAGGAGAATCACTTGAACCTTGGAGGCAGAGGTTGCAGTGAGCCGAGATTGTGCCACTGCACTCCAGCCTGGGTGTGAGAGAGCAAGACTCTGCCTCGAAAAAAAAAAAAAAAAAAAAAAAGGAGCAGGTTGGCCAGGCACAGTGGCTCATGCCTGTAATCCCAACAATTTGGAAGGCCGAGGCAGGCAGGTCACCTGAGATCAGGAGTTCAAGACCAGCCCGGCCAATATGGTGAAACCCCATCTCTACTAAAAATATAAAAATTAGCTAGGCGTTATAATCCCAGCTACTTGTGAGGCTGAGGCAAGAGAATTGCCTGAATCTGAGAGACAGAGGTTGCAGCCACTGATATCATGCCACTGCACTCCAGCCTCGGTGATAGAATGAGACTTTGTCTCAAAAAAAAAAAAAAGAGCAGCTCAAAACTCCTGTGCTAATCAGTAGTAGGACCTTGCCTGTGAATAGCCACTGCACTACAGCCTGGGAAACAAGTGATCTGCCTGTCTCAGCCTCCCAAAGTGCTGAGATTACAGGCATGAGCTAGCACACCCGGCCTCAAAGTGCACTTGATGGGACTGTCATGGTAGTGTGCAAGGGAGGGGACCATAGTGGTGCTAACCTGGCCACCTAATGTATGCAGGCTCAGGCCCACACTACCCTGACCACCTCTTTGGGCCGGAGGGAGTCGATAGGACGGCAAAATGCCTAGGAAGCCAGCACACGGATAGCACCTCCACAGGAACTTTATTCCTCTGGCCATGGTCTATAGGAAACAGGTTATGGGTTCCTCTCGTGGGGCACAGACTCTTCATTGCCAGAGTCATTCTCTGCATCAACTTGGGGTCTGGGAACAGGCTGGAACTTGAGTAAGACAGGTGGGGAAAAGATGGAGGCCCTCACAGCAGAGTCTGGTGTCTCATCAGCGTTAGGGGAGTCACTACAGGCCGAGATCCTGCAGAAGAGACATGCGTGACTTGCCTGTAAGGTGGGACACCAGCACATAGGTACACATGAAAAAACCCCAGGCTATAGGCCCCTCCTAATATATTTCTACTTCTAGAAACCTCTCCCATGCATGTGTTTTCAAGGCTGTTCACCGCACCAATGTCTGTAATTGTAAAAAACCTGGAAACAAATGCCTATGAAAGCACAGCTATATGACCCCCGGTATAGCCATGCAGTGGACTATTCTGCAGGTGCTTAAAGGAATGAAGTGGATATCGCAACAAGTAAAGACATCCCAGTGGTTTATTTATGGAAACCACAAATTGCTGAGAAGTACATGCAACGTGGCTCTTACTTGTGTTAAAAAGTTAACGTATGTGGCCAGGCGTGGTGGCTCACACCTGTAATCCCAGCACTTTGGGAGGCCGAGGTGGATGGATCACAAAGTCAGGGGTTCAAGACCAACTCAACCAACATAGAGAAACGTCTCTGTATGTTAAAAAAAAAAAAAAAATTTAACTCGTGTGTGTGTGTGTGTGCGCATGCACACAAACAAATCATTTGGGAGGGTACAAATGAAACTTTTAGCAGGAGTGGACTCACATTTTACATATTCACTTCTGTATTGTGAACTTTTTTCCATGGAACATAGTCTCCATTTGTAGGCTTTTAAAAACCAATTAAGGCTGGGCGTGGTAGCATATACTTGTAATCCCAGCACTTTGGAAGGCTGAAACAGGTGGATTACCTGAGGACAGGAGTTCAAGACCAGCCTGGCTGACATGGTGAAACCCTGTCACAACTAAAAATACAAAAATTAGTCAGGCGTGGCAGCACGCACCTGTGATCCCAGCTCCTTAGGAGGCTGAGGTATGAGAATTGTTTGAATCAGGGAGGTGGAGGTTGTAGTGAGCCAAGATTGTGCCACGGCGCTCCAGTGGTATGATCTTGGCTCACTGCAACATCTGCCTCCTGGGCAAGTGATTCTCACGCCTCAGCCTCCCGAGTAGCTGAGATTACAGGTGCACGCCACATCGACCGGCTAATTTTTGTTTTTTTGGTAGAGACAGGGTTTCACCATGTTGGCCAGGCTGGTCTGTAACTCCTGGCCTCAAGTGATCCTCCCTCCTTCGCCTCCCAAAGTGCTGGATTATAGGCGTGAGCCGCCACACCTGGCCAATTAAAGGTACTTTTTAAAATTTTATTTCTTTGAGACAGAGTCTTGCTCTGTCGCCCAGGCGGGAGTGCAGTGCACGATGTCAGCTCTCTGCAACCTCTGCCCCCTGGGTTCAGGCAATTCTCCTGCCTCAGCCTCCTGAGTAGCTGGGGCTACAGATGCATGCCATCACACCCAGCAAATTTTTTGTATTTTTAGTTGAGACAGGGTTTCACTGTGTTAGCCAGGATGGTCTCCAACTCCTGACCTCGTGATCTGCCCGCCTTGGCCTCCCAAAGTGCTGGGATTACAGGTGTGAGTCACCATGCCTGACCCCTAATCTTTGTATTTTTTGTAGCAATGGGATTTCACTATGCTACCCAGGCTGGTCTTGAACTCCCGGGTCCAAGTGATCCACCCGCCCCAGCCTCCCAAAGTGCTGGGATTACAGGTGTGAGCCACTATGCTTGACCTCAATCTTTCTGTATACACATATAGGAGTGGAATTGCTGGGGCATATGGCAACTCTGTTTAACATTTTGAGAACCCAATAAACTGATTCTCAAGCTGATTTTTTTTTTTTTTTTTTAGACGGAGTTTCACTCTTGTTACCCAGGCTGGAGTATAATGGCGCGATCTCGGCTCACCGCAACCTCCGCCTCCTGGGTTCAGGCAATTCTCTTGCCTCAACCTCCTGAGTAGCTGGGATTACGGGCAAGTGCCACCATGCCCAGCTAATGTTTTGTATTTTTAGTAGAGACAGGGTTTCACCATGTTGACCAGGATGGTCTCGATCTCTTGACCTCGTGATCCACCCGCCTCGGTCTCCCAAAGTGCTGGGATTATAGGCTGACACAAGAGGATCACATAATCCCAAGAGTTTGAGGTTATCGTATGCTATAATCATGCCACTGCACTATAGCCTGGGTGATAGAGCAAGACCCTATCTCAATCGCCACTGCGCCCAGCGATTTTTTTTTTTTTAAGACAGTGTTTCACCATGTTGATCAGGCTGGTCTCGAGCTCCTGGCCTCAGGTAATCCACCTGCCTCGGCCTCCCAAAATGCTGGGATTATAGGCGTGAGCCACTGTGCCTGGCCAAGTTGATTTTCATAGCAGCTGCACCATTTTACATTCCCATCAGCCCTGCAGAAGGATTCCAATTTCTCCACATCCTCATCAATACTAGTCATTCTTCCACCAAAGCCCATGTAAGGAGCAGAAAGACGGAGTCCTTAGGAACAGCAGAAAAACCATCCTTTGGGGAAAAACAGGAAATTATACTAAAAAGAAACACTTTTCACTGTCCTTTTTTCCTTTTTTTTTTTTTTTTTTTTTGCTATGGAGTCTCACCTGTTGCCCAGGCTGGAGTGCAGTGGCACTATCTTGGCTCACTCCAACCTTCACCTCTCAGGTTCCAGTGATTCTCCAGCCTCAGCCTCCTGAGTAGCTGGGATTACAAGTGTGTGCCACCAGGCCCAACTAATTTTGTATTTTTAGTAGAGACGGCATTTCATCATGTTGGTCAGGCTGGTCTCGAACTCCTGACCTTGTGATCGACCCTCCCTGGCCTCCCAAGTGCTGGGATTACAGGTGTGAGCCACTGCGCCCAGCCTCACTGTCCTTTTTTACTGTGGCCATCATAGTCAATGAGAAATGGTATCTCACTGTGACATTGATAAGCATCTTCCTAATGACTAATGATCTTGAGCATCTTTTCCTGTTATTGGCTATTTGCATGTTTTCTTTGAAGAAATAGTTATTCAAGTCTTGTGCCCATTTTTTTTTTTTTTTTTTGAGATGGAGTCTCGCTCTGTCACCCAGGCTGGAGTGCAATGGCGCAATCTCATCTCACTGCAACCTCTGCCTCTCAGGTTGAAGTGATTCTCTTGCCTCAGCCTCCGGAGTAGCTGGGACTACAGGCATGTGCCACCACATCCAGCTAATTTTTTGTATTTTTAATAGAGACAGGGTTTCACCATGTTGCACAGATGGTCTTGAACTCCTGACCTCAAGTGATCTGACTGCCTCAGCCTCCCAAAGTACTGGAATTGCAGGCATGAGCCACCACGCCTGGCCTAATTTTTTTTTTTTTTGAGATGGAGCTTTGCTCGTTACCCAGGCTGGAGTGCAATGGCACAATCTTGGCTCACTGCGACCTCCGCCTCCTGGGTTCAAGCAATTCTCCTGCCTCAGCCTCCTGAGTAGCTGGGACTACAGGTGCCCACCATCATGCCCAGCTAATTTTTGTATTTTTAGTAGAGACGGGGTTTCACCATATTGACCAGGATGGTCTCAATCTCTTGACCTCGTGATCCACCCGCCTCGGCCTCCCAAAGTTCTGGGATTATAGGCGTGAGCCACCATGCCCGGCTGAATTTTGTATTTTTAGTAGAGATGGGATTTCGCCATGTTAGCCAAGCTGGTCTTGAACTCCTGACCTCAGATGATCCACCCATCTCAGCCTCCCAAAGTGCTGGGATTACAGGCCTGAGCCACTGCATCCGGCCATGCCCATTTTTTAATTGCGTTTTTTGTTGAGTTTTTTTGCAAATATTTTATGCCATTGTAGGTTGCCTTTTCACTCGCTTCCTTTTAGGTAATAATGTTCTAAAATTGAATTGTGTATGACTATGAATATACAAATATCCATTGAATTGGATAAATGGCTGGACTATATGCCATGTGAGTTATCTCAGTAAAAGGGCTAAAAAAGTTACCAGGGCATGGTGGTGCAGACTTGTAATCCCAGCTACTTGGCTACTTGGGAGGCTGAGACAAGAGGATCACATAATCCCAAGAGTTTGAGGCTATCGTATGCTATAATCATGCCACTGCACTATAGCCTGGGTGATAGAGCAAGACCCTATCTCAAAAAAAAATTTTTTTTTTTTTGAGACGGAGTTTCGCTCATGTTACCCAGGCTGGAGTGCAATGGCGCGATCTCGGCTCACCGCAACCTCCGCGTCCTGGGTTCAGGCAATTCTCCTGCCTCAGCCCCCTGAGTAGCTGGGATTACAGGCACGCACCACCATGCCCAGCTAATTTTTTGTATTTTTAGTAGAGACGGGGTTTCACCACGTTGACCAGGATGGTCTCGATCTCTTG